TTCCAGATGCTGAAATCCCACCTCCGAGAATGAATAAATATATATGAAAATATACATGTACCTCATTTGAATGTCACGTGGCTAACATTACTCTCTGTGGCAGGGTGGGTTTGGGAGTGCTGCCCTCGATTGTGTGCTGTCACTGGAAGGGATCTCAACGGTGGTTCCGTGATATCCACTTCCGTGGGGCGTTCTCCTAAAACAAAGTGCCGCACTGCAGAAGATGCGCACCGATACTTCATCCCTTGAGATTATGCCAATAAAACGATTTGAATATCGTTTGAAAGAGGTAAACGAATGATCATAGTTAAATTTCGATTCAAAGCTTTCGTGACTGCAGGGATTCATCTTCTTGGTTCTTTCGGTAAAGTCACGTAGAATGGAAATAATAAAATAAAAAAATAAAAACATAATAAAATAATTATAATGGTTTATTTTTATTATTTTATTATTTCATAATAAAAATAATTATTATGTTTTATTTTTATTATTTTATTATTTCCATTCTACGTGACTTTACCGAAAGAACCAAGAAAATGATCATAGGAATGAAGAAATAAGAATGTCGAACATGATGTTGGGAAAGGCTGAGTGGCACTACCTTTTCCACCCATGCCCCCCCACACCCCACCATCCATACCCACTTAGTAATGCGTTGCCAGTGCTGCAAAGTAAAAAACACACCGGTGGTCCTGTGGGATGGTCATTAAGCCTGTCTCTGCTGCTTGTTTGGGGATGTTAACGTATTGCGGAGCGTTTTTTCTGGCAAGAGAACAGCCATTGTGCGTGCCCATGTCGGTGCCAAATTAACCGCTCGTAATGAATTCATTCCGCACGAAACCCAAAACAACGGCTCGTTGTAAACGAGATATATGGTACTAACTTGAGCTCGCGTGTGAATATATCTCAAACGCAATAATTTTAATTATGCACTAAAAAGAACCCTTGAAAACACCGGATAATAAACAATGAAAGTGAGCACATTTGGCCAATGAATGCTTGAGACTTGAGAGAGATGCGGTCCGTATGAGGATAGGAGAAGGAGCTTTCACTCTAATTATAATCAATCGTGACCTTTTTTGGTAAGATGCCCCAGGGTCCTGTAAAATCCTTGGAGATTAAAAGCAAGATCAATGGTCAAAAAAGAATGGGGTTTTTACAATTTGGAACAAATGAATACCAGAGGTGTGGACTCGAGTCATGTGACTTGGACTCGAGTCAGACTCGAGTCATGAATTTGATGACTTCAGACTCGACTTGGACTTGCATAACAATGACTTTGTCCCACCTCTGAGGTGTGGACTCGAGTCATGTGACTTGGACTCGAGTCAGACTCGAGTCATGAATTTGATGACTTCAGACTCGACTTGGACTTGCATAACAATGACTTTGTCCCACCTCTGATGAATACCATTTGGAATCAATGGTCGGCCTCAGCACACAGATGGTGTTTTCATTCTTCCATCTTTTGTTTTCAAACGAAATAGCTATTTACGTTTGTATATTTTAGACAAATATAATCTTGGGTGGTGGTGGTGATGCTGCCGTGTTCTTGCAATCCGGATGTCGCTGGTTCGATTTGCCGGCGAAGCAATGCTTCTTACATCATATTAATCTAATCTGTCTATTTTTACTTTAACACTTAAGGCCCACTGAGCTGTATAGCTCTTTTTCAGAAGAGACCTGGCCACAAATGATATCTCAACGAAGTGGCTTATCATGTGGAAATGTATAGCAGACAAATACGAAATGAATGTTTCTAATGTGGGGAGGGGGGGGGGGGAAATTCACGCGACCACGGGGAAAACACGCAAACTCGAAATATACAGACATCACGGTCGAGATCGAATGCACGACCTCCTGTATACCAGGCGAGGTAGTTAACATCTCGCCACACCTCTTGCCCACCAGGCAGCACCAATGGGTACACCACAGTCATTCATCAGGTCGCGTGTGTAGGGGGTGAAGTGTCAGTAACTCGCATCTCTTTCACGATGCCTGGCCATCATGAAATCTAAGGTTGAAAATTCATTTCTTTAGAACTTCTTGGTTCTTTCGGTAAAGTCACGTAGAATGGAAATAATAAAATAATAAAAATAAAACATAATAAAATAATTTTCACGACGTTTCGGCCACAACGCAAGCAACCGTCCTCAGGTGGAGAACAGGTCTGTCGAGTAGACAGAGTCTGAATGACAGACCTGTTCTCCACCTGAGGACGGCTGCTTGCGTTGTGGCCGAAACGTCGTGAGAAGTTATTTTATTATGTTTTATTTTTATTATTTTATTATTTCCATTCTACGTGACTTTACCGAAAGAACCAAGAAGATGAATCCCTGCAGTCACGAAAGCTTTAAATGCGTTCAGTTTGTTGTCCTTCCCCCGCACATACGATCAGCACGGTTGGCTACGTACGGTGCGAAAGAAGTTCGAAAATTCAACGTGGAAGAGGAGACCAGGATACTTTCCAGAGGTAATCTCTGAAGCTCCCTGTAGTTGCAGGCCCTTCTGCCAAGCAGTGGTGTAACTTTTCATATTTTACAGCAGTAATCAGTATCGTGTCATCTGCAAAAAAATTTACCCTGGAATGATCCAGGTCAGTGCCCAAGTCATTTACATGAAGAGAGAACAACAAGGGGGCCGAGAATGGAACCCTGTGGAACCTCTTTTGTTATCTTAACACTGTTTGACCTCCAACCATCTGTGAATACAGTTTGGGTGCGAGAAAAGGGGTAATTTTTTAACCATTTTACTGTGTTTTCAGAAAAACCGAGGCAACTTAGTTTACTAAGCAGGGTGTTGTGGTCTACTGTATCAAAGGCTTAAGACAAGTCAAGAAAAATACAGGCGCAGTACTGCTTATTATCAAGGCTACTGTTAATGTGATTCAGAGACTCTAATGCAGCAGATGTGGTGCTGTATTTTTTTCGTAACCTAGATTGTTTTAGATGTAATAAATTGTTGGCGGACAGGAAACTGCTAATTTGGTAGTTCAATAATCTTTCAAAAATTTTAATCAATGGGGACAAAATTGAGATAGGTCGGTAGTTATTTGTATAATCTTTAGGGCCCCCTTTGTGAAGTGGACGAACATAGGAGTGTTTCCATTCTAGAGGAACTGATGCTTCTTTGATGGACAGGTTAAAAATATGGGCTATAGGTTAGTATATTTGGTGACCAACAGTTAGTAGAGCAAAGACGGGAATACTATCCGCTCCGCTAGAAGAGGACCCTTTGAGGCAGCACAGTTTTTTCAGAACATTACTTTCGTGCATAAACTTAATGAACACGCTATTTGTGTAGTTAAGTTTAGCTGAGAACACCCCGTGCCCATCCTATTTGCACGTTGTAAAACGAAAATCGCACGTGTGCCGCGACACCTCAGTGACACATTCATCATTCCTTATTGCTGTTACACTGTGTACAAACCGCCGACTGCATCTACACACCAAGTCAAACTAATTAGTGCTTCATAACTTTTTAAGTGGGCTTTGCAAAAACCAAACACTGCACTTTCTAATTTCGTTGTTTTCTGGTTGACAATCTGTGAAGTGCATTATGGGACATTTTTTGTCAGTATCAAAGTATGAAAAATAAAAATAGGTTTGACCTTTTCTGGAAATAAAACAGGTATTAAGATATTCTTGGTTCTTTCGGTAAAGTCACGTAAAAGGGAAACAATAAAATAATAACATAATAAAACAATACAATTCTCACGACGTTTCGATTGCCACACAAGCAATCATCATCAGGTGTGAAAACCACAGCAAGAAAATTTAAAAAAAAGTGGCGTTTTTTTTTTACGTTAAACAAACCTGCCACTTTTTTCAAATTTTCTTGCTGTGGTTCCTATTTACACGTTGTGAAAATTTGAAAAAAGTAGCGTTTTTTTACGTAAAAAAAACCCATCACTTTTTCAAATTTTCTTGCTGTGGTTTTCACACCTGATGATGATTGCTTGTGTTGCAATCGAAACGTCGTGAGAATTGTATTATTTTATATTTGTATTATTTTATTGTTTCCCTTCTACTTTGACTTTACCGAAAGAACCAAGAAAATGAATCCCTGCAGTCACGAAACCTTTAAATCCAAAAAGGTATTCAGATGTTCAAACACCAAATAGATACCTTATGCAAGGAATCAAGTCTACGTTAACCACACGGACTTGCGGTGAACATGCAAACAAACTCTGATAATGTATTCATTGTCTTTGCAACTCATTGGTCTACACCAGAGACATCCTTCTTTTTTGGCCTAGTCTTTTGTCAGGGCGAAGAGAAGATCGATTCTTCTCCTTGCATCATCTTCACGGTGTACATTTAACACAACTCCACAGCTGTGTGTTTCATCAGCAGACAACACCAGTAGTTATTACAAGCAAAATATAAATAACATGTGATGCCAATGAATCTCTCAAATCTATCTTGGCCGTATCTCTCTTTTCTCATTTCCCTACATCTCTAATTTTCTTCTACATTTCCCTTGTCTAGATCTCTTCTATGTGACTGGGAATATATTTAAAAATCCCTCCGACGTCCAAAACACATTCCTGCGGAGGGAGCTGGTAGGAACGTTGGGTTGCTCGGTCAATGGCCAGGGTCAACGGCGGCGTGGTGTATTCCGCAAATATGCCCGACTGTGAGGGCGGGCACAAGCCGGCGTGAGTAGGTTAAACGTTGAGTTTTATAAGGGCACCACGGGTGACCAGCCCCTCCCCACCCAGCCCCACCCCTCCCACCCCCCCACCCAGCCCCCACCCTCCCCACCCTCCCCACCCAGCCCCTCCTTCCCCACCCAGCCCCTCCCTGCACGACGGACGGACGGACACAAGAATCTCCTGTGGGCTGGTGTAACCAGGAGGTTCCTACCAGTATAATTTCTGCGTAGGACACTCCTAGTGGGCAGTGTTTTTTAGGTGTTTGTTTTGTTCACGTACAGATTCATGTATTGTAACGTGCAAATGAGGCGCTTACAAATTCCACCAGACGGTTTGTCGCACAATCACATCTTTATTAAACTTCAGTTCCACTATTTCAACAATGCAGTGGTCCATTCACTAATAAAAAATAATGGCCCTAACACATTAAGCAATGTACAACATGTACAACCATTACACTGGCTCTTTAATTACACCATATTCGGTTTTTGTACAGCACAAAAACTTGATGCACGGTTGTATGATTGACAAAGATGCAACTGAAGAAAGCTTTTTGAAGAAAGAAAAAACCCACTGTTTTTATCATTGCAAAGCACAACTTATAACTTATGGTGCTCATATACAATATAGTGTTCTTATTTGTGTGCTAAACTAAGTTGAAATCCATCAAATTGACGATGGTTTCAGGACAAGTAGACAATGAAAAAAACATCCACAAAAGCAGCAAAACACTGGCACCAAGAGATGTGTTCTACTTACGTAATGCACAATCGTATCGTCTATATGATGCGATTCGAAACATTATATATATTTACTCTATATATAAATCCACATTTGGTCCCGTGCAGTCATTTGTTGTACAAGCAAAGGACCGCTGTATCTCCGTGGGCGATGTTATAAAACTCTTCATTTTGTTTTCAATTCAAAATTATTAGCGGCTATGCGTGTTGCTCAGATGAATATATATAGCGACACCTTTGTGAAATATAATTGACTTTTTCTTCTCGTAGAAAGTATATACACAAATTTATAACATTTATTGCTTTTTATGCTTTGAATACACATGAACAAGACATGAAACATGTCAGTAGCAATGCACGGTCGTTGACGAGCTGATTTTTGTCTTTACAATGCCACAGCATTTGCAAGACCTGACCCTGGCCATGAGCATACATTTGTGTCTTTTGTAAAGCCAGTTGCATTTATTATTAGTATTATTCACATCGTTTCAAAATACAATATTAAATATAACACAAATACAAAATATAATGTACACAATTGTCACAATAATCCCATCATGTTTTGCACCTGCGAAAAAGAAGCCAAAAACAAGCACTTGTGCAAAATTAATTTAAAAAAAATTAAATTTGTAACATTAAAAAGGCAAATCAGACATAGAAATATAAGATTTTTTTTTTGAAAAAAGTAGTGATATCTACAAAATTTAAGGTACAACCTATTGTATATTTTCTTTCTGAAAGCATTTGTTAATTTTAATGAGTGTGGTTAAATATCTGTCCGTTAGGATTATACAGCCAAGATGTTGACCAACGTTTTTCTGAGATTGCTTTTGAAAAAATAAAATAATAATGAATCGTGAATATATTTACGTAGATAAGCGTATGATTTCATTTATAACATTATTTGCCAATATTAAACTTATGCCAAGCATAACAATGTGTATGTCCTTGCTATTATGATTGCTATATTCTTTCTAGATTAGGTATTTAGGGTCCATAACGTCAAAAATACCAGCAGATAAGAATCTACATTTCACACATTCACAAGATACATATCGTACTTTGCACACCAAATTTGCATGAAAGTAAAACCAGACGATTTAATATTAATTACACATCACTGAGATTAACTGTGGATGTTCTAGTGTCTATTAAATGTCCCCTGCCCCCCCCAATGTTATCCCCTTTGTGCCATCGGCGTCACGTCATGTGACGAAGTAACCTTTGGGGGTCTCTCACACAGCAGTGCAACCCTTCCTGTCGGACAACAGCCCACACGAGTGGGATATCACAGAAAAAAAACCTGACAAGGTCCGTTCCGTGGACCTCTGATCCACACACAGGAGAGGGCAGCGCTTTCCACTTGCTCTGCATGTGAGAGTGTGGTTTGAGAATGACATTCAATCTGATATTTTCATTCTCTGAGCTGGAATTTAAGCCGAATTGACTGCAGCAACCACATTTCACGTGACCTTTTTTTTGGTTCGGGGAGTAATTGGTGACCGGGCAGAGACCGTCAACTCATTAGAATTGAGGACCCGGTCTAACCTAAGGCATTCAAACCGAGGCCCTCAGCGGTGCCAGCTCATTGTTCTGAGGTCTGAGTTACCGGGCCAACCGAAACTATGCATATTTAATACACCATCATTGCTAAGTTACAGGGTCTCAATAAATTGCATCAGAGCACGTTGCATTTATAACTGTCTACAATGAACAGGTGCTCATGTATCTAATCAAACATCCATGTGGGACACAGTTTACACAATCATGGATACTGCATTATGAACATGTGTGTAGCAAAGTGTGAAAGCAATTAAAACTTGCGCTTTAAAAAAAATTTTGTTGTTGTTAATCATTACTGTTTACATTTACACAGCCTTACATATAATCGGGTCTCAGGGTAATTTACAAGGTATTAAACATTGCACCTCTCCCGCCTGTTTCCAAAGGTGGACTTTACAAGTAAGCAAATACCATATCAACCCCATCACTTATATAATAGTAAATACCATACTGGATGATCAAGTTATTAGCTATTAGATGTCAGCTAAATTTAGTGTTTTAAATCATCTGTATACTCTAATTGTCCACCAGTGGTTCATTCCATACTGTAAATACCATACTGTAAATATCATACTGTACATTAATAAATTAAACCAATAAAAGTTAAATGGCTCAACGTTCCACATTTACTCTTTATTAAAATTATATAATTATTTCTCTCCAACCATATGCACTCACTTCCCAGTCCTAATTCCAAGTTCAGGATCATTAATCGCGGCATGATCCATTTACTAATTAAAGCCATTGTGATCTCTGAAAGAAATTCACCGACGCTAATGAGATTTTTAGCTCCTGGCATCTTCACAAAGGTGGCAAACGTTAAGAGGTACTGTATGCAAATAGATTTACTTTCATACACGCATCTGCGGGTTTGGATTTCCGTCTGTGCAGCAGCAGCAGCAGCAGAGGCGTTGCGCTTAACAAGGACGCCGAGGAAAATTGGCTCTACAAAGTCCCAGTGAAACACTGCGAGATTTTTTTTGCCCCACCATTACGACGAACCAGCTGTAGCGCTGAGTGAACAGAAGGAGCCAACGCTTTGTTTCCCAAGGTCACGAAGATCAGATGCAAACCAGCTCAGACAGCGATTTCAAAGCCAACCGGGGTGGAATAACAACCGTGCCGTTGACGTCTTTTTTTTAGTTTTACAAATGCCACAGACGCGCATCTCGAGAAGACGAGCGAGCACGAGCAGGATAAATGTTGTCGGGTGAAAAAAAAAGGGTAGACGCGGATGGTTCAATTCAACGTCACGTCCTTTAATTTATGTTTGTCCTCTTTTTTTTTAAGTGAGACGTTTTTTTTTTCAAGTTGGATAGTGTTTTCGTGCAGACACTGCACAATAGGCATGCCCATAAAGACCGAATGGGTCTCTTTTTTGCTGGCAATGTGTGCTGACACAGAGCAAGCTGTGAAATAACGAAGCACTGGGAAATGTTGTGCAGATTGGGAATAACAAAACACCGTCGATAATTCGCATCGTACAAATGTCACGAGTGTGTCATACGCAGCATGATGCCCTTACGCATAAACGAAATATTACCTCGTGGTAAATCTTAGACAACAATCAAATTACGATATTATATGTGCGCACGAACCAGGCATTTGCTGGGCATTATAAAATGAACGCTAAATTCAGAATATGCCATCCATAATATAATAGAAGCATGGCCATTGGAATTCAATATGCTACTATATGTTTAATTCTAAGAGACTTTTGTTTTGTATGCAAACTCATTAAGCATTTTTGTGGAGCATCAATTATACAATAATGTAAAAGCAGAACTCCATACTGTATCTCCACATATTAAATAAAAACTGATAAATGTTTTAGTCTGTTGGCCTTCCAGACCGATATCCAGCAGTAATTGTTTGAAGAAGACTCTGGGCTGGTTTCAACCTTCTGTTGGTGAGAGGGTTCTGCTGATGAGACCCAGATTGTCGATAGCGATCCAGAGTTTGCTTGCTGGAACAAATGCTGCTGGATAATATTGTTCTGCAAAGCCAGTAGGTTGTTGGGCTAAAACACATTTGCACGTACGTGAGGACACACAAATGGAGTATTGCTTTTACGTGTTTTCATTTTGTGTTGTTGCCTAGAATAAGAAGCAAGACAAAGATTCCCCCCACTCCCCTCGTAGCTCTAATATGCCGTTTGGAGTTAATACCGTCAGCAACCACTTATGAAGTTTGGCACGGCGCACAAACGATGGGTGGTGTGATGTGACCACCAGCAGCAGCAGCAGGAGCACACACACACACACACAGTGCATATTCTTAGGTTTTTTCGGTAAAGTCACGTAGGTAAAAAAGTTAAAATTAATAAAAGTAAAATAAAAATAAAAATCACGACGTTTCGGAGGCAACACAAGCCTCCGTCTTCAGTTGGAACAGTCACAGCACGATAGCCTCCGAAACGTCGTTATTTTTTTTAATTTTACTTTATTAATTAATTTTTTTTTTACCTACGTGACTTTACCGAAAAAAACCTAAGAATATGAATCCTTGCAGTCGCGAAAGCTTCAAATATAGAATTCACACACGGTGCACACAGCGAACACGGACTCCCGCGTGGAATGGCTCAGTAAGGTGCGAAAAGAAAAGAGCCGTGAGCCTGCCGAATGGGTCCCGGGGAAGGCCTCAGCATGGCTGATGGCTGGCCCACTCCGAGCGGGGACGACGTGAAGATCGACGGAGCGGACGAGTTGGGCGGCCCTGGAGCCAGGCCCAGCGGGTTGGCCGCTGCGGCAGCTGCGGCCGCAGCGGCCAGGGAAGCTGGAAGGAATGCCAGAGGCTTGCCGCGCAGGTCTCTCGCAAAGGAGACCTTGCCTGCCTGTTTGTTTGTTTGCACACAGCATAAACAATTGGAATCGTATTGGATCGGTAGGCAGAATTATGGATTGTTTTTTTTTATGATATGATCGCCAATCGGATTGCCACCTCTGCGATACAAAACGACTTATCATTATCAGAGTTGCTTCTTTTTGTTTGCTTTTTTGACTACTTGTGTTGTGGTTATTGCAAACATGATGCCTTGAATAAAGGTGTCAGTTTTGTACCAGTTTAAAAGGGTAAAAACCTACGACTATACTTTGCCACTGGTAAAAGAGATCTCATAGTGTAAATCACGTAGATAGGTTCAACGAAAATAACAAAAAATAAGCAAAAAACTACGACGTTTCGATCGCAGCACAAGCGATCGTCGTAGTTTTTTATTTTTATTTTCTTTGAAACTATCTACGTGACTTTACCAAAAGACCCAAAGAATATGAATTCCTGCAGTCACGAAAGCTTTAAGTCAAGATTCATTGTGATGCAACGGATAAACTGACAAAATCGAGACGCGCGATGTCCCGAAAAGACTTACTGATTACACAGGACAGATTCCTTAAATTTAGGACGATCCGGGGTAAATCAGGACAGGTAGAAATCACCACTGGCATTAGTGAAAAGTTAAAAGGATATCATTTTAACTCTACAAGCACGACATTTCTATCAGAGTTTGATATATTCAAGATGTATGCAATTAAGAGAGAAAATTCATGCTACAAACAATAACCTTAACAAAACACAAATGGTATGAAAAATTGTGTTTAGATGATCATTTATTTCGTGCAGTCCACAATGTGGAATATGTGACTGTCCATCTGGAACTTACCGTGACAGGGCCGGAGTGGCGATGTTGCTTGTTATATGGAGAAAATTTTGGTTTTGGAGGTTTGCCCGCAGATCGGTCTTTGTGTCTTCTGCTCGTGATATGCTGCGGTGACAAACGGCCGTACAATATTACATGCGTCTGTGCACCCTGGTTGCTATCAAGAGTTGTGGGATATGCCCGTTTCATCCGCAAACTGTTCAGTGCAAACACTGCGAATGTGACGTCACTAAATTGCACTGAAGAAATTGACGAGACATAATGAAGCCTCGTTATTAAATTAATGATCGATGCATATCGGTGGCGCATTTTTAAAGCTATACATATCGGATACTTTTTTTCCCTGCAAAACACTACAGGAGCAGTTAGTCGATTGGCAGGTCACATACGGTGGGGTAATGTGTGGGTACTACCACTTGTTCCACAATGTCGAGCCAGTGTTGCAAGAGTATGAGAAATACCCTTTCTCGAGGGGCTTTCTAGAGCTCTCTTTAGCGAAGACGCTTGCCCTCTGCAATCAGCAGGGCAGCAAGTCTACCATCACCATGATTTTAACCGTAGAATGTGCCATTGCACATTGTTGCCAAGGACATTTAAGAGATGTAAACATTTACCTATTATTTTTACTGAGCAGCTTGAAGCGGCAGTCTTTCATCGACCGCCCATAGTCCATGTTCAATGATGAAAAAAGGTACAAATCCCATCGGAAAATACGGAGCGGATAAAATATATATCACAAATCAATGCGTCCCTCTATAAACTGACAACACTAAATAATTTTTCTTGAAAGAAAAAAAACAGCAGGCAGTTTGCCTGAGCATAATATTTCAGGGCTGCACCTTAACCTTTAACCAAACGGTAGCCACGAGTAATTGTCCAAAAACCTTACAGTCTACGGAGATCTATAAGGTGACCACACGTCACATTGACGGACATCTCTATAATGTATGCAGCTTCCCGGGGGGCAGGAAGGCACACCTGCTTCAGCTGCGTCTCCGAATTCACGTGGACGTCGCAGATCTCGCAGTAAAAGGTCTTGTCTTGAAGGCCGAAGCCTGCGGCGCTGCCATTCTGGCTGCTGACTTTGCAGCCCGGCCTGGGAAATGCTCTTATGGAACCGCCACCACTCCACGCTTCAAACATCGTCTTGTGCTTGACACCTTTAATATGAAAAAAAAAGCAGACGAACGTTTGTCGTTATCGTGAACGCGAAGCGATTTGCGTTCCCGTCATGTCGTAGGCATCGTGCAGAGTATGAATAAATTATTACACTTGTGTTAAACACCACTCATTGTTGACATTTGCCAAAAGCTTCTCAGACCTATTATGACATCAACACGTTATTGCTTATTCTTTGGGTCTTTCGGTAAAGCCACGTAGATAGTGGCTTCACCGAAAGAGCCAAAGAATATGAATTCCTGCAGTCACGAAAGCTTTAAGTCATGTTATTGCTTGTCTAGGCATTTGGCTGAAATATTTTGACCACTCCTGTAACGTTTTCAAATCATAAAAATAATCATCTACAAACCCCATGAGAATCTTTCATCCGTTAAGCGCACAGTGTATATGTTATGGGATACATTTTAAGCACCGCCATCAATGCCCTGGGTTTTCTGCCATGGTGCTGTAATGGGTTAGCCAAACTCCCTGCACGGGAGTCGAAACACTCGGTGCAGAAGGTCTTTATACCCGCTCGCCTCTGCCCACCCAGTGGTAAAAATGGGTAATAAATGGGTAAATGACCTGTCGATCGGCAGGTCACGCATGCTGAGGTAAAGTGCGGAGAGCAGTAGGCGGGGAGCGGTTAGCACTACACTGAGCTACGAACCCTGCGACCCGAGTTCGATTCCCGCTCACGGCCAACACCAGTGAACTGGTCCTGGGCCTCCCCCTAGGTCGACTCAGACTCAAATTAGTACCTGGTGCGGTGTGTAAACATCGCTCCTAGGGAGCGATGTTTACACACCCAGCACCCTCGTGTGACGTGCCGGCCTTCATAGGTGCTCGCTAACAGCACTTGCCCCAACAGTCTGTTAAGGCTATACGGGGGAGCTTTGTCTCTGTACTCACACTCCTTCTAATAAGATGTCTGGGTAGCATGGAAGAGGAGGGCTAAAATAGCCTCTAGAGCTGCCTGCAGTGGAAGCCCTTCCACCAGCGGGGCTTGCAAACGTTTAATTTGTCGACCGCTAATGTCCACGTGTCTGGCTCACCGTTGTTATGAGCATCCAGCTGTGACTGCGAGTTGACCACCACCTTGCACAGGGAGCAGTAGAGGAGGCGCTTCGATTTCTCGTCCTCCGTCTCCGTGCCCAGCGTGGCTGTGCCACTGTTCACACTGCTGATGCTGCTGCTACTGCTTCCACCTCCTTCTCCTCCTCCTCCTTCTAAACCTCCTCCTCCTGCTGCTGCTGCTGTTACTCCTCCAACTCCTCCACCAGAGGCAGAGGCTGGATCCGGCTGTGGTAGCTTGCCGTTGTCACCCGAGACGGTACTTGGGGACGAGGGTTTATCCGCGGTGTCCAGCTCTGCTACCGCTCTCCCCGCGCCGTGCGTCTCTCTCCCGACATTGAGATTCATTGATTTCACTGAAAATCAAGTGAGAGAATTAATAATATAATCCATTCGACGAGTGCAAGGAATACCTGAACATTTAACAATGCCTCAAAATATAAGATGCTACTGTGGAAGAATGGTTACCGCACTAGAGATCACCGGTTAAATTTGACCGCCACGGCTGTTGGAACGATGGGCACGTTTCTTAAATGCCACTGCGTCTTTCCAGTCGGCAGAATACGTGGTGTCCACGGCAATTAGTCTATCGGTGGGTCAAGTGTGGTGGGGTAAAGCGTGGAGGAGGTGGCGAAAATGCCCTCTGGAGTGGTTCCCAGGAGCTCCATCTCATGGAGGCTTTTCCGACAGTTGTGACAGAAGCAAGATATGGCATGGCTGCATCTTTACCAACGTTTCTAGCATTAATGGGCCATTACACATCATTGTTGAGTAAATTTGAGACATTTCATATTTGCTCATTATTTTCACCGAACCAGCATGAAGCGAAAGTTTTTTTTGTCAATTCCCATAGGCCCTTCTCAATGACGCAATCTGTTTAAATTTAAAAGGGGAATTTCGATTATAAAATAAATAAACAAACCTTTCTCATAAATGCCTGATTTCCCTGGAAACTGACAATATTATAGTGGTTAATAAAAAATGCAGTATCTAATAAGAAATTCAGTCTGCTTAGTACAAGCCTTTGACCAACTGATTGTAGGTTTAATTGTATCCTGAGGTGATACACCTGTATTAGTCATTCTGGTTTTGTAAATAGACTAAGGTGACACGATCACATGCACACAGCGTACCTTGGGACTTTGAAACATAGGCCCCACGAGATAAATACCAAGATGTGCGATATACAATAACAACTCATGTAATTAGGCAGGCAATTTACATTTTTAATATTACTTTTCTCACATGTCAAAAGCAATGTTTTGATCGGCGTATTAATTATGCGGGCGTCTGAAATTGAATGATCGTCACCATAATCATCGGCATCATCATAATTTCGTATGAATTTAAAATATAATTCAGCGTGAAAACTAAAATTGCATTGTCACACCACTCAAGACGCTCTTGGTTTCACGTAATTAAGTTCATGGATATATTTTTGTTCACTCTGCATAAGTGAAATATTACATTGGCAATGTTCCTTAAATGCTCCCTAATGAACAATAAACACCTGTTAATGCAAACAAGCTAACACGTGTCACTACTTATATATTCATTAATGAAAACACACATATATAAACCACACTATGGGTTTCGTTGTGGGATTAAATCGAAATAAAACGAGTTGATAAAAGTAGGCGGATGATAGCTCTCCCTGAAGATCAATCCAAAGAAAATGCACAATGTGAGCAGAGAAGCCAGAATGTGCCACGATGGAAACATTCCGAGTTAACTACACAGACTCCATGACAGCTCCATTATTAAGTTTGCCCTATCGTCATATTTGTAAAGCATCGTGTGATGCAAAACCAGCTCGATTATTGCCAGAAAGTTGATAGCTGGCGAGGCTCGAGGGAACAATTTCACACCAAAAAAACCCTTCAATTATTTATTAAGTAAAGCAAATTTCAGCCAAATATGTTTTTTCTTGGCAGCCACAATGATTGCTACGCAACTCTAAACGCCTACATCATTTTCACACCAATGGTTGCCAGATCCATTTCCTGAGAAATCGTCATTCCTTCACAAAATTATACGGGCCTTATATTTTTTTGTTGCACAACACTGGCCCATCTATCCCCCCCCGAGTCCAATATTAGCTGTTGATAAAATACTACGGTAATAACATTTGTGCAATTTTTTTCCTCATATATATAATATATATTATTCATGCATAGAAAGTTTCACAGTACTTAAACAGTCAAATTCACAGTGATTTCTTGCTCATCTGAGCATTGGCACGGTGGGAGCGAGTTTCTCAGTCATCTCTCTCATCCACATGGTGGGGGGGGGGGGGTGAGTCTACCACAAAGTGGTAGTTATTTTATCAACCCCAGAGAAGATGAGTGGAGTCAACTCCTGACCAAAATATGAATGCACAACTTTACGAATGTGAACCACTCGCCCTCCCACTGAGCCACTTGGCCAAGCTAATTTAAGCCGCTGTATTCAAGCAGTGGCATATTCCACGTGTGGTGATGAGAAGATTAAGCAGACTAATGCAATATATATATATATCATCTCGTGCTTAACAGAACCACATGAACGATTTATTGCCAGCTCAATTTATTTTTAAACAAATTACTTGAACACAAAAAAAATCTGCAAATTAATGTTTTAAGAACAAGGAATGCGGCTTACTGTGGTACTTTGGTATCTTTTTTATCGCTTCGTTGGGGCCTTTATTGCCCATAGAGTCGGGTTTAGATGCCCCGTTCCGCTTAACTTCATCTTTGCCAGAACTTTTACTCTGTTTGTGCATTCCACCCTCGAGTGATTTGAGTCTCTTGGCATGCTTGTTTCCTTTGAAGTGAGCAATGGCTTGAGTCTGGGGGAAAAAAAAAACAAAGACGCATGCACACACATCACTGAACACAATAAACATGCAGCTTGACCATCAAAAAAACATACGCAGAAGGACCACTTTTAAGTGCTCAGATTCACCAAGTTGTCTTTGCATTTAACCCACATAAAGCACACGGGGGAGTGAAGTGTGGATACTCATACTTCAGAATCAGAATCTTTATTTATCCTGGAAAAATCCAATGAGCTTTCAAGCAATTTTTCAAATAGGTACAGCAATACACCAAAAATGTGTCCGGTCAACGTAGAAGAGTAGACCCTCTAAATATCACTCGCGTGGAGGCCCTTCCTGCCAGCAGTGGCGTGAGCAAATAATTGACGGGATGCACCTTTACCGTTATTATTCATCATCATTATCAGCAGCAGCGATTCTCTATCCACTACTGGATGATGGGCTGCCCGGGTCGTGTGATGCCATGTTTATTCAACCTACTCAATGGTCTTCTATTTTCTTGCATAAATACCAATAATGTACAGCCCTTCATCAATATACTGCTGGATGAAGGTTGTTTGACCACACTTCACCATGCTGAGCGGATACATGTGGGTTAATTACGGAGGTTGGGAAAGATGGGGTGCCCAGGACTGTTTCAAATGTTACCTGCCACTGATTTTAGCCAGGGCCAGGAATCAAAAGGGCACCACGGTGGTGATATGTTAACTAGCTCGTGGGTTCGATCCCGACCCTGATGCCTGCATATTTGGACTTTGCATGTTCTCCTTGTGGTCGCGTGGATTTTTCTCCGGTTTATCCCTACACATTTAGAAACATGCATATAGAGTTTTAGGCTCCTATAAATTACCACGTGATAAGCCACTTCATTGAGATATCATTTGTGGCCGGGTCGCTTCTGAAAAAAAGCTATATCGCTCATCGGGCCTTACCTGCAAAATAAAGTGTCCATATATTAGGGGGGCACTCGCCAAATACTGCCTGTTTTTTTTTAATTTGTGCTCAGCCCATTTGAAGCAAGTAAAATGTACGGAGCTGAATATTAGCTTTGGGCACTGCGAGGCCATCCGTCATGTGACCATGACGGCAATGCTGCAGGGTGGGAAAGAATGTGGGGAGCGCAGAGAATGGGAGCTGCAACAGCAGCAGCAACAACAACCCTCACCAGGAACAAATGGTGAGACAGCAAGAAAGACAGAGACACAGGGAACCCGAAAGCAGTAGATATGTATGTATGTTGAACTTTTTTCGTCCCGTACGCAGCCAACCGTGCTAAACGGAGGTGCGGGGAAAGCAGTTCTAAGAAAATTGTTTCAAATCTAGATTTAAAAGTGAATAGCTCCAGTGGCTTCCTAATATTGGATGGAAGAGCATTCCAGACGGCTGCAGAAGCGCATTTGAAAGCGCGTGAAGCAGTGACCATCTTTGTGCAATGGCGAGCCAAAAGCCGTTGCGAGGATAGCAGCAGTTTGCATGATGGTTTATGCTCCTTGACGAGATCTGAAAGGTATTGTGGTTAATACTGGTAGGAACCTCCTGGTTACACCAGCCCACAGGGGATTATTGTGTCCGTCGTGCATCCAAAAATGGGAGGGGTGGGGCTGGGTGGAGAGGGGAGGGTGGGGAGGGGCTGGGTGAGGAGGGGAGGGTGGGGAGGGGCTGGGTGGGGAGGAGTGGGGCTGGGTGGGGCTGGGTGGGGAGGGGCTGGTCACCCCGTGGTGCCCTTATAAAACTCAACGTTTAACCTACTCACGCCGGCTTGTGCCCGCCCTCACAGTCGGCCATATTTGCGGAATACACCACGCCGCCGTTGACCCTGGCCATTGACCGAGCAACTCAACGTTCCTACCAGCTCCCTCCGCAGGAATGTGTTTTGTGGCAAGCACTTTGTGTGTAATGAGCGCGACCTTACAACGTTGAGAAACAAGACAGAGACACAGAGGCAAAAAGGAGAGAGACAGAAATACAGAGAGACAGGGAATCAGAAAAGGAAAAACACAGAGGGAGACGGAAGAGAAAGATGAGGGAGATAGAAAGATAGCAAGAGAGACAGGGAGATAGGGATAGAGAGCCATACAGAGGGAGACAGAGAGACAGAGAGAGAGAGAGGCAGATGGACACAAACACAAGGGGAGACAGTGATTTTTGGTCTATTGAAAATAACACGTTGACAAAAAAATACTACTCTGCTTCAATTTAAAATTCGCAGAATATTCAAGTAAATAATAAAGAGTGCTACTTGATGCGCCTCTACCATCTGCACTCACGTAAACGTGCAAGCACACCCACAGCGCACCCTGTACAAACAGATGTTACTGTATATGCGTAATGGCTGGTGGTTTAACACTCAAATTTACAAACACATTAAAAAAATCCCATCGAGATGAAAAATAAAAAATGGCATCAACGTCTTAAATAGTTGTACTGGATGCACGCTACGCTTATACTCGTGGCGAAATTCTTAATTCCTGTTGGTAGAGGCAACAACGATATACCATATTTCGATTTAAAGCTTTCGTGACTGCATGGTATATCATTCTTCTTGGTTATTTCGGTAAAGTCACGTAGAAGGGAAATAATAAAATAATGTATTATTATTCTTTCGGTAAAGTCACATAGAAGGGAAATAATAAATTATTTATTATTTCCCTTCTACGTAGACTGGAAATAATAAATATTTATTATTTCTCTTCTACATGACTTTACCGAAATAACCAAGAAGAACGATATACCATGCAGAGCATGAGAAATGGGTGACATGGCAGGAAGTGCTGTTTCCATCGAACGAGTGGGTGCGTGTCGGTGCGTCATGCGATGTCGGTGGAAGATGGGAAGGAAGGGGGGGGAAGGCATGTTTATGGTTTTACAAAACAAGCTCTGAAAATACTCAATTGAAATGTCAACCTGAAAGACAATAAGCAGAAGGAGAGATATTTGAAAAAAATGTGTAATAAAAAGAAAGAAATTCACACCACAGTAGTTTCAAAAGCAAACACATGCTGGCGTTGGGCAAGCAGTAGAGGGTTCATAAAGGAATTTCAAGATCAAGATATCATCAAGGCTAAAGCTGTTGATCCAACCACACTTGGCTAACTGGGTCTACTGTCTATCACAACCCAAAGCCGCTGCACTGTAGACACGTGACCTCTAAGATATGCCCCACAGTCTGGCCTTGGGTCTTCCCCCTTCATAATAAAAGGGGATTTTGTTGGGTTCGATCGTATGAATTTATTTTGTTTGCATTTGACTGCAAGTATTGTGGTTAATGTAAGCATGATTCCTTGCAAAAGGTGTCAGTTTTGTTGCCAGAAAAAAGGGGAAAACCCCTATTAGTATATTTTGGTACTGGCAAAGGAGGTCCCATGATGTAGCTGCTCACCCCGAGCTCTCATTACTCTGGTATTGCGTTGTCTTTGAACTGTGCGCCTTTTGGCGTCATCTGGTCGAACACCATATGAGACTAGGCTCTAAAGAAAGCTGTCTCTGGTGTGGACCAATCAGTTTCAAAGACAATGCATAAATGATCAGAGTATTGTTTTTTGTTTGCATTTGACTGCAAGTATTGTGGTTAATGTAAGCATGATTTCTTCCAAAAGGCGTCAGTTTTGTTGCCAGAAAAAAGGGGAAAAAACCCTATTAGTATGAAAGTAGTGTTAAACCTACCACCAAATTCCAGCTAGTTACTAGTTCAGCACAGTGGTGTGTTGGAGAGTATACCCACAGCATTTACAATTCGAGTACGACGTTGTGCTGGTGATTACAACAACCTGCTTTATCAGGCGATGAGCCAGAATTGTGAATAATTATTCCTGTCTCGGTCTTAAAAAACCTTCATTGTGGATTACATTGGTCGCGAAAGCTTATTTATTAAACGCAGTTTGCCTAATGGTTGCCGGACCCATGGAGACCACTCCAGTGCCTGCCTTGGGAACCGGCCATCTTCCATCCTGTCCTAGCCAGCACATCCTTTGATGCCCATTCGCATCTACAACACTCGCAATGCCACGTTCTCTTCAATAATTCTACGTTGCTTCTTACCCGGTCTTGCCATAAAATTCCTAACCTCGGTCTCAGACACATGTCCTTGAAATTCCAACAACTGATTTGCCATATGCTTAATTAAGGGCCAGCTCTGTGACTCATGCAGTCATACCAAAAAAACAGCACTTCCACCTCAAAATACCTAAATAGAAACAATGGGAGGAATTTAAGTCCACAAAATCGTGACCTCCTTATGCAACAATTCACGTGATGGAATACATTATTGTTTGAAACATTTATGGGGAATGCTAGCGCCTCCACCGGGGGCTTTCAGGGGTGATGTGACTCTTTTGCATGCAACAGGCACCTCCGAGTTGAACCTTGTCTGGCAGATGCTGCAGGAGTAGCTGTGTTTCCGGCGAGGTAAAATGGGTACTCCAAACGTGTGCGTGATGACCGCCTTTTGCACCGGGTCCACCTTTAACGAGAGAGAAACAGCACTCCAATGTGACGCCAAGATTACAGTGGCAGCGATTCTTTTTGTTGATATAATATATATCTTAATATTCCTCTTCCAAAATGTATCCTTAGTCTCATAGCATTGCACTGCAGAGCACTGGAAATTACATTGGGAGAAAAGACCAAAAAATACTTTTCAGACCATATTTTTACATCCTCATTTTTTCATATATATATACAGAAAGCAATTCAACGACAGGCTACTTTTTCAAAATTGCTTGATTGTCCATGGCAAGCATCATACATAACAACCAAGGTCACATGTCTTTCCCGCACTGTTACATTTCTTTCGAATGAACAGCTTTGTGCGGGGATCATGGGACAAAAGTAGTGCAATGCATTCTAACATTCAAGCGGTAAATAGAATTTTCGGATAGATTTAAGTCACGAAAATAAAAGAAAAACATTGCCACCAAATAGCACGAGGGACGGACAAGAAAAATAGGAGAACGTTGAATAACGTTTCGGCAAAAGTCAAGACACACTGCTTCACCTTGAATTTTCGGAGCGAGATTTCATACAGAATACTTTGCAAGCTCCGTTGCCGCACATTGAGTGGCCAGTGGAATGTGTCGATCAATACCAGGACATTAACATCCCCTGATTTTTTTGTAGAGGCCACGAGCAATGAACACGACCGACCAACGAAAACCCCCCAAAAAAAAATCCCCACTGCACTCATCAAACATGTTTCCCACCCGCATAATTTTCCAAGAGTAATATCCAAGCGGAGCGATGCAAACATTCCTGATTGATTACTTTTAATTGCTTTCGCTATTCTGCATTGCATAAAAGCACATGCGTGGGAATATTTGTTTTTAAGATGCGTGATCTCTGCAATAATTTTAGTTTAATCGAAGCAAGTAGCCTCCTCATCACTTGCACAATTTTTACGCCATGCAGCGAAATAACTGGAATGGTCTGTGCGCATGAGGTGCAATGAAAAGCCACCTCCCTTTTGAGTTGTGCGAAATACGGACCACTCCTGTTTCTGTTCAGTCTAATGGATTATAGCCCAATCTATAACCTTTTGTCTGATGGCCTCTGCACCATGATTCTACATAAACATAGCGTAGTTCTTATTTCCAGGTTTGCACCAGAGGACCTTATGCAATCTGACTGCATCATACAAAGCCGTCAGGACTCCTGAAGACAGATTTCCATGGAGCGCTTTCAGAACAATGAAAATGAATGCTATTATTAATCCTTACACAAGTCCATGAGTAAAATGTCAACATAGGTAGCTTTAAATTTTTGTAATTTGCGGGTGTAATTTTCTACACGAAAAATAATCCGGGTATCAATTACAACCACCTTTCATGGCAAATGTCTGAGCAATTTGAATAATTTTGCAAGCGGAAGAATGTAACTAGGCGCAGCTTCTTATAGGTGCATTGGTATGTGATGCATCTTGACGTTTCTAAAAGTAATGTGGCAAGGCTTGTTAAGTTAGGCGGAATGGATACTGCAGTTCATTCTAAAATGTTTGCTCAACTGTCCATATATTTTTGAACAAAGGTTAGAATATCACGCAAACTACTTGTGTTTTGTGGTGGAGGGTCTTGAGATGCATTTCTGTGTAGATGCTATATATTCACATTTTACTGTATTATACAGTGATCCACATACACAAAGGCCCCACTTACACAAGTGGGACCTTTGTGTATGCTCGGGCCAAGTGCTGTTTACAACGCAGCGGTGTGGCCTGACCACTGCGCCGAGAACCTCTTTGACCGATTCAACTGTTCTTCTTGGTTCTTTCGGTAAAGTCACGTAGAATGGAAATAATAAAATAATAAAAATAAAACATAATAAAATAATTCTCACGACGTATCGGCCACAACGCAAGCAGCCGTCCTCAGGTGGAGAACAGGTCTGAGGACGGCTGCTTGCGTTGTGGCCGAAACGTCGTGAGAATTATTTTATTATGTTTTATTTTTATTATTTTATTATTTCCATTCTACGTGACTTTACCGAAAGAACCAAGAAGATTAATCCCTGCAGTCACGAAAGCTTTAGATCGAAATATTCAACTCTTGACAATTATTAACATCGAAATGGTATCTGAATCTGCCTTAGGGCTTCCCTAGGCCATTCGTGGAAACTCGAGGCGTAGATTAATTTTTTATGTTAGCATGACAATTCCCAGAGCTACAATTGATGAAAATTGAGTGAAAAAAAAACAACAATTTTTTTTACGGCGTTTTTGTTCTTGTTGTGCAGTCCTTGATGACCTGGCCCAGACCATCAACTTGTCAAATTGATAACTTGGTTTGAATCAAGGTGCTCTTGAAATAATGTAGAAGTACCTTTCGGAAATTTGTATGTAATAACGAGAGACAGGGTTGCCAGTGTTGTCAGAAGAATAACTTTTGGATCCAAACTCAGCATCTCAGCGGTGCCAGCTCAGTGTGGCCTGACATTTATATTTTCAACGTCATTTTTATTTTTCCCCTCGGAGCCAGGGTCATTTCACCGCGCATCAGTCATCTTCCTTCGTGTGTCTGTTTTGTATAAAATATTCCGACCACACGCCACAAGAGGTGCACAACATCGTGTGACCTCTCACAAAAAAAGAGGAAACTTGCAAAATAAATACCTCATGGAATGAATTTACTATCAAATGTCTACCACTTGTGAAATAAGAAACGCTACCTGGGGCACCTCCTGGAAATTTGAGAACTTAGTTTGGCAAACAAAGATATATGATTAATTTTGGATAAAGGGACTAATTTTGAAAACCCAACAAGAATATACATTCCTAAGCCAATTAGTCAGAGCCTATCAGGATCAAATTGCTCAAATCATTAGGCGAACAAGTGTAAGGTGGAGTGTAGTTTTAAAACTGAATGTGATAATTAAAGGCAACATGCAAATGTGCCTGAGGAATAGCTTTTTAAAAGAGTGATTATCACCTTCGATGCAGGGCTTAATTTCTCATGGAATATTTTGCAGGGCACCCCAACAACTGGAGGGAAAGGGGGGGGGGGGCAGGGAAATATTTTCTGTAGCTCAGCCCCAGACAGCTCCGGTTGAAATTAAGCCCTGCTTCTACAACATATGGGTACAGAAACAAAGACTTTGGCAAATAAAATGGAGGGGTGAAAACTGGAAAGTGTCCAGAGGAACAGGGAGATATTCATGCTTGGAAACACACTGAGAGGCAAAGAGTGGAACACAACGAACAGAGAACAAACACGTATTGACAGATAAAGAAAATAAGTGGGCTTTGTCAAAATGTATTGCTTGAAGGCGTGATGGCTGATAGACCAGACTGGTTAAGGAATGGTATCCAAAAGAAAAAAATGCACCAGAGATGATGGTCACCATGGATGTGGATCAATGGGATTAGCTTTTGTGAAGAACTGAGATAGATTGTGGCATCACAAGGCCACGAGGGACGTTGACAGCATGGGGGTGCCTTCATCTAGCAGCAGATATGCGGTGGCTGATGATGATGGCAGTATTTGTAGCTCGTAGAGGAAGCAGCAACATCGAATACCGTGGACCACTGAAATCACAACTTGGTTTGAAACGTCTGCTGATCTTGAAGTGCAACTGAGACATAATCTTCCTTCTGACTTTGTCAAGGCTGCACAAAAAAAGCAGACATCTGATGTAAACCGCGATTCTCATACATATATTCGCGTAATTTGTATTTTCACGTGCTTAAGCACCAGGGGGAAAAGAGAGTGATTTATTAATTATAGAAAACTCCATGGAATGCCATTGTTTAAGTTTAACTGGATGGACATTAGGAGTGGACACATGGTTTGGGGTTAGTGGGTGTGAATTGGTTTAAGAAACGAACTCAGAATATTTAATCAATTACTTGTATTAAAGGAACAATGCACACACTGGGAATGCCTGCACATTTTAATTTCGAATAAGTTCAGAATCCATTCATTTGATTCTTAAAGGTGAAATGGCAGGTCCATATTCCAAACAATGGGCTCCATATTAGGTTCGAGGAGGTACCACTTAGCATAATAATCCAGATAAATTGAGTTCACTCCATTGCTCATGTCCCCAGAATGCCAAGCAGGAGAATGTGCCAAGGTCACATTAGTCAATTAGACGGAGCGGATTGAAATGAAAAAATGAAAGCCAGCATAGACCACACAACTTGATACAGCAAATCTGGCTGTGACGGTGATGACGAAGACTTGTGTTGCCTCCGAAACGTCGTGATTTTTTATTATTTGATTTTTTATTAATTTTTATTTCATTTTTTTTACCTACGTGACTTTACCGAAGTAATGAAAGCTTCAAATCTAGAATTGACTACACTATTGATGGAATGGGTTTTGTGAAGGAAGGCTTTTGATAATAATAAATAAAGGTTGTCGAGGTAACTATGAAGGATATTTTCGACGAAAACAGATACACGTCAAGGCGCCCTTCCCCCCTCCATCCCAGCTTAAATAGTCGCTCCAAGCCTGGAGTGTGTCATTCAGACTCTGTCTACTGCTCTCCACCTGAGGACGGCTGCTTGCGTTGTGGCCGAAACGTCATGAGAATTATTTCATTATTTATTATTTCTTTATTATTTCCATTCTACGTGACTTTACCGAAAGAACCAAGAAGATGAATCCCTGCAGTCACGAAAGCTTTAAATCGAAATTTAAACGTTCATATTTGTTTTTGTGCGTTGGGCGACGTGGCGGTCTCACGTGACTATTCTTGTCAATATCCCTCCGTCACCTGACGAGCTTGTCACCTCGACAAAGATATTGCCGACACGCACCAACGTATCAGTCAAATTGTGACCAACAAAGCGTCCTCCTCGCCAATGGTTTAGCATCGTTCCTAGCTTTATTTTGGTGATTTCGAAAAGTGTATTGGTTTGGCCATGTTTGTTTGTTGCAGTACAGAGTTAGACTGATGGCCTTCATCTAAGTTGTCTTGTGGTTGTTGTTGGTTGTTTGACTTGCATCCCACTGGGATTTTTGCACACAG